CATTCATCTATTTTCGCAAACAACAGACTGGGAGAAATAATAATCTTGATAAGACAATCCTAGCACTAAATAATGAATTTCGAAAAATGCATACCGAAAATGAATGAAGAGATGATGCGGTTTCACAAGGTATGTAACTTATGATTGAATTTTATCGGGACCCATGATCCTAACTGTCCTCTTCATCTATTCTCCACTAGTCGGTTCCAACTGATATTCTTCAATGAGCTATGCTTCCTCCGGACATCGTTCCATTTGATCAGTGTGAATCATTATGATACGTCATACATTTCGGACTCATAATTTTCAAAAAAATAAATGATGTTTATTGTTATATGCAAATTTTTTCATATGTACTGTAAATTGCAGTGTAACTAACCCAAAGATCGAATTGGCAAAAACAGTGAACGATCAGAGTTACACAAAATGTCACCGCTTATCTTACAAAAATCGAAGTTATGCTTGGTTATATCCATATTCACGAAACATTTTTTTCGCGTATACAAGCATGACTACAAAACCCACTATCAAAGCTTTTTTCATTGATACCACGTTTGAGAACTGGACGTGCATTAATATGATAGAATATTATTATGCGAATTCGGGGTATAAGAATCTGCAGAAAATAATGGATTGCATAAAAAAGGATCTTCAAGGGGTGGCAAATACAAATTCTGAATTTGAAATAGCGCACAAAAAAAAGGCCCGAGATATCCTTGACGATTGGAAGGTACGTTTATTAGCGAGATAGAGATTTGAAAGAGTTAAGAGCTTAGTTCAACGGTGATGAACTGCTCGTTCGACGCTTAGCGTAAGCTGGGTCTGCTGGTCTCAGTGATGAACTGCTCGTTCGACGCTTAGTGCAAGCTGGGTCTGCTGGTCCAAAGGATAGCTATTAGTTCGACGCTTCTTTTGCTTTAAAATTTTATTAGGGAATTTTTTTTGCAAGTTTTGTTGTTAATTTTTGCATTTTTTTTTAAGAATTGGTCTACACAAAGGAAAAACCCAAAGCGTTCTAGTGGTGTGAATATTGAAAGTTTGCAAGTAAAGAAGATAAAGCAGTTTGCGGAAAATTATGCAACCTAAATCATGGGTAATAATATAACTTTGGAAACAAAAAAGGTACAGACAATAGACGATTACTTCACAATGACTCCTGCCTAACGCAAGCAGGATCAACCAACACATACTCCTCCACATCGAATTTTTTCGTCAGGTGCTTTGTCAGATGCTTTCATCCCTTGGAACCAGCAACAGAGAAGTAATGAGGGATCAAATGGGCAAGGGTTTTCAGATTCTGAGAGAGATTGGGAAAAGGTAGATGCGCTTTTCTGCTATAGTTGTGAAGTTTGGATAGAACTAATTACTTTGCATATTTATTTATTTTAGGGCAGTGAACAAACTCGGTTTTATGATAATATTCCCAAAGAGTGTAATCCTGAAGATGGTATTGCCGAAGATGATCTTCTTATGAGATCCCCTTCTGATATTACTGCTGATTGCAAGTTGACTATCAATAATATATGTATCCGAACAAAAATGGAGCAATGGTGCAAATCGACAAAATATGTGGAGGAAATACACAAGCAAGAGTGCGTATATTTATTTTTATCATCCCGTATAGACTATACATCTAGATATTATTCACTTACCGAAAATAAAACTTTACAGCTTAATGCGATATAATATCATAGACACAACCAATTCATCTTCAACAGAGGCACGAAAGATCTTCAAGGAAAATTAGGACGACATAATCAGTACTATAGAAGGATTTTTGACGTCTCCTTCCACTACTTCTTCCTCCATTTCAGTTTTAGCTGACCAAGATACTGAACATGATGGCCGGGCAGAAGAAATAAAACAGTACCTAAATGATATTTCGAGGAATGTGATAAGCAAGCACTGTTTTCAAAGTAGCGGATTAAAATTTGTTTATTTCTAATGTCTACTTCATTAGAATACCATAGAAAAATTGCACAACACTGTCAAGACAAATCTATTGATAAATGGTAATACAAAATAGAAGAAGCGGGCTTTGCAACTGATGAAGATCTTGTATGTATCCTATGTAGATGTTGTTTAGTCTGATTTATGCTAATGAATATTTTCATAGTCGGGACCAGTTTTCAAATGGAAGGAACTGTCTTAAGGAGCACCAAACCGAGTATAACTACATAATTATATTTATTTCCTATATTTTCACGATGTTGTTCAAAGATATGACATTTATAAGATACAAATGGTAAGAAATGATATTATATAATACCCGTTAGTCATTGCTTACTATATTGCTTATTTCAACAGGGATGAATCTGATATTTTATTATCATATACTTGCTATAAATCACTATAAGTCATTAAAATTGGTAAAAACGCTATAAAT